AGAGGTATATATGAGATGGTCGATAGAGAATGTGAGTTGAAGAGGGATGAACAAGATGAGATGGTTAGAGACCATAGAAAATTGGCAGTGTTGATGGTAAGTGAAAGTGCAAAAAATAGAATTAAGAATAAGGCAGAAGAGTATCATTTAAAATGATAAGTGCAAGTGGGATAAACAAGGTAAGATGGTCATAGGATTGACAGTGTTGATGGTATATAAGAGTGACCAGTGATGATAAGCAAGAATGCAAGGAATATCATGCCAAAGTGTATAATGGTTATAAAACCAGTGGCCAAGGTGAAAAATTAATTAACCATCATTTATCGTTGATGATAGTAGAAAAAGTAAGCATTTACAAATTAGTTAGAAGAGAATAAAATATTTCGTCAAGGTAGAAAATTGTTTAACCAGAATGCAGTTGTTTGATGATAATCAGGCGAATATTAAGTTTGACACAAAAAATGTGGGTATTTAGGAATTGGTGAGGAAAGAGTAGAAGGATATGTTTCCAATGCAAAGAGACAATATTTCCAGGTGAAATTTCGGATATTGGAATATGACAAGCATGAGGGTGAAATATGAAGTAAACATGATGTTGTTCGATGATAATTAGGAGAATATTTATTTGACATTGTTGATGATAACAAAAAAATGTGGGAATTTAGGAATTAGTGAGGAAAGAGTAGACAGATATGTTGCCAATTCAAAGACACAGTATTTCCAGTTAGTTTGTCAAATTTTGGATATTGGAATATGATAAGCATGAGGGTGAAATTTAAAGTTAAAGCATGATGTTGTTTGATGATAATCAGGAGAATATTTATTTGACATTGTTAATGATAAACAAAACATGTGGGTATTTAGGAATTGGTGAGGAAAGAGTACAGGGATATGTCGCCAATGCAAAGAGACAATATTTCCAGGTGAAATTTTGGATATTGGAATATGACAAGCATGAGGATGAAATATAAAGTTAAAGCATAAATACAGGTTCAAATAAGCATAAAAAGTATAAAATATAAGCATAAACTCAATGTACATATATAGTTTCAAGAAAATCCACAAGTACCATAAATAAAATTCAGTAAAACCAAAGTACCAGAAAAAAGATAAAGTAGGAAACAAGAACCGTAGACGAAAAAAAGAAAAAAAAAAAAATTCCATTAATAATCACACCAATAAAAATATTAATATAAATTTAAATATATGTACATACTTCAAATCTAATAAACACTTCAACCAGAATCAAAACTACTAAAAATTTATCCAAAACGTGTGTAATTCAAAAAATGCACTAAATTTTAATTCAAAAATTAAAATAAGCAAATGATTTATGAACTTACCGCAATCGTCTTCGTCACTGCCATCAGCACAATCGCGTCTCCTATCGCAACGCTGGTAGTCAGGGATGCAACTTCCATCACGACATCTGATAAAAAAAAGCAAAAATATAAAAATATTTATTTGTAAATTGAGGAGAAGTATCCTCAGCTTGAAATTGAGTGCATTAAAATTTTTGTCAGAATATTGTAACTAACAGTTTTCGACCAAAATGTATGAAAGCCATCTCCAATTTTGTTCAGGCTGCCATATCTAGTGACTAAAAAAAATAGAATGTAAGTCTTTTACCCCACCTGAATTCGTTACCATCACATCCAGCATGTGGTCCAGGAGTGGTATGATCAGTTTTTGCACATTGTTCAGGACTTTCATCAGAATTGTCAGCACAATCCCTGGTTTGGTCACAAAGATATTTTCTAGGAATGCAGTCACCAGATTTGCACCTGAATTCGTTGGCTGCACACTTGTTGTCTAAGGATTTGTGGATTTTAGGAAGGGGATAGAAAAAAATAGATTAGTAAAATAAATAAAAATTGAATAATCCATTGAATGTTACTAAGATTGTAATTTAAATTAAGTTTTAAATTTGTTTTATAAAATTATGTAGAAAATGGAATTTAGTGAAAATAAATTGGACTGTCCTGAGTAATATCTTACCTGGTAGATGGAAATAAATATTTTTGATATTCAGATGTGTAGTGACTGTGGAGAATTATTTACAGAATTTTTGTGAAAAAAAAAAAATAAAACCAAACTGATCGTTTTTGATAAGAGAATTCGGTTAAAGTTTGGTTAATCGTTTTGGTTAAAGTTTCTTCACTTAAATTATTATAATGACCGTTTAGAAGGTCCGGATTTCTAACATGCTTAATTACTTGAAAAGAAAATTTCTAAGATATCTAATTTTAATTAATTCTAAGATGACAAATTAATTGAAGGTAAAAGTTATGAAATCCCTAATTACTTGGTGGTCAAATTTCTAAGGCTTATAATTTGCAGAAGATCGAATTTCTAAAATGTCTAAGTACTTTAAGGTTCAATTTCTAAGATACATAATATTTAGGCGGTCGAATTTCTAAGATAACTAATTTTTAGGGAAATTTCTAAAAATTTGTTTCAATGTTCTGAAATTTGTAATTACTTGGTGGTCCAATTGGCAAAGCATATATTTTCAGAACGTTGAATTTCTGAGGTGTTTATTTACTTGAAGGTCAATTTCTAAGGGTTCCAATTAATTAGAGGTTAAATTTCTAAGGCATATAATTTTCAGAAGATCGATTTTCTGCATTTAATTTTTTTGAGGTCAAATTTCTAAGATAACCAATTTTTAGGAGGTACAATTAGACTAGAAATCTAGATCACTTGTTGTTTGTGATCCAAAAGAGAGTGTTTATGTATATACATTAATTTTTTTATTATATGTTCAGTGGTGTGCCAAAAATTTTGAATAAAAATTAAAAAGCTAAAAAATGGAGTATTTTGATATAAAAGAGTCACTACACACATCAATTTAAGATCTAATTTAATAGACATGTTTGGATATATAGGACAACGTCTAAAAACTAAAATCTACCCACAAATACATATACAGGGTATCCCAGAACTCAACGTCAACTCAAAGTGATAGTGTTGATTGTACCTATCATGATAAAATTTAAAAAAATTAACGCAGTTAGAAAACTATTAGATTTTGAGTACAACCAAGAACTTTGGTCAAACTGTGATATTTTTTTGGTTCTAATTTCCAAAGTCCGCGTAATATTTTTTTTTCTAATTTTTTATCATTATAGTTACATACAATGCTATCATCCCCTTTGACGTTGAGTTCTGGGACACCCTGTATATACATAAATTTTGTAAACACTTGACAGGATTTTCACCTAATTAGATCACCCAAGTCAAATATTTACCAAAACATTCAGACAACAATGAAACATCGATTAAATTTTGAAAAAACCAACATTGATGATGATGAAAAGCACATCTAACGAGTAAAGCCCAAAAATTTGAAAAAAAGCCTAAATAGAACCTAATGATGAACGTAAAGCTTCGACAGTAAAATAAATTTTGAGCATGCAATTGAAGATGAAATAAAAGTTCCTGAAAAAAATATACCACATATATAGTTGTCTTATAGCTAAATTTTATTTCTAGTCATCACACGCACACACATTTGGACTTAGGGGTCATTCTTTTACAAACCGTACACCATCCAAACCTTGACGTTTCAGAATTGTCTGAATTTTTGTTTACAGATTTTATACATAAAATGATTTGACACGTATTTCAGGATTTTGCTGAAAAAAAATTGTACGTAAATATTTACGATTGAAATATGGATTTTTTGCTCAATTTCTATGAACATCATCTGCGGTAAATTAATTATCTCCAGTTGTGCTGATCGGATCAGTATTATTATTTTTTTTATTACACTCATATTGAAGTGAACTTCATAATGATTAATTTTTTTTTTTGTTTTTGCAATTTTATTAACAATAACAACCCTTAAATATTTACAAAGATTTTACTCATCCTTACCCCAACTTGAATCGATCCAAAAAAAAACATATTTTTTCTTTTTTTCTCTGCAACAAAATTCTTTTTACAATTTGTTGGAGACTTTGTTACATCGAAAGATATTAAATAATCGAATGACAATCTTATTGTTTTTCCATTGAAAAATATTTTATAGTTCCGCTTCTGGCAAAAAATGAATATATAGTCGAAAAAAAAATTAGGGCAGAGCGGAGCTTAAAAGTTCGTGCGTAAAAAGATCCACTGCCAATATCTCAAAAACAAGTAAGATTCGAAATTTTTTAACAACAATATTTGAATGTAGACGGATTGTTCAGTTAGATTTTTCTAAAATTCGTCATTTTCCGTCTTCACTTCTAGCCTGATTTCAACTATTGATTTATATATATATATATATATAATATATATATTCTAACTTGATTTAATTCTTTATTTACTATTTATTTCCTTACTATTTACACCTTGGCCAGTATGAAGATGTGGTTGACTCTTTTTACCCCACCCACATGTAAGCTTTAATAGAGATTATATCAGAAAGAGTTGTACCCAACTTAAATATTGTTGTTAAAAAAATTCTAACTTCACCTGTATTTGAGATATTGGCAGTGGATCTTTTTACCCACAAACTTTCAAGCTACACTCTCCCCTAATTTTTTTTCGACTATTTATTCATTTTTCGCCAGAAGCGAAATTATAAAATATTATTCAACCGAAAAACAATAAGATTGTCATTCGAAAGTGACAAATGAGTACAAGTCTTTGAGGTCGACGACGTGAAAAGCGCGGCTTGCGCTTGAAAATATTTAATATCTTTCGATGTAACAAAGTCTCCAACAAATTGTAAAAAGAATTTTGTTGCAGAGAAAACAAGAAAAAAAATGTTTTTTTTTTGGATCGATTCAAGTTGGGGTAAGGATGAGTAAATCCTTTGTAAATATTTAAGGGTTGTTATTGTTAAGAAAATTGCAATAACAAAACAAAAAAATGTAATCATTACAATATGAGTGTAATAAAAAAAATAATAATACTGATCCGATCAGCACAACTGGAGATAATTTACCGCAAATGATGTTCATAGAAATTGAGCAAAAAATCCATATTTCAATCGTAAATATTTGGGTAAAAAATGTTTTTCAGCAAAATCCTGAAATACGTGTCAAATGATTTTATGTATAATATCTGTAAAAAAAATTCAGACAATTCGAAAACGTCAAGGTGTGGATGGTGTACGGTTTGTAAAAGAATGACCGATATGTAGAATTGTTTTAGTTATAAATCTTATTTCTAGTCATCACACACACACACATGTGGTCTTATATCTACAATTTTATCCTAATTTTTCCATTTCTCACCACAATGAACTTCATCGCTTCCAGTATCGACACAATCCCTTATCCCATTGCAGACTTTGTATCGTTCTATACAATATCCTTCCTCACATCGATGACCAGTAGGGCCACAAGGGCTACTTTCCATAACCTTTGGGCCATCCTTTTCCTTCGAAAAATTATCCTGGTAACCAGGCAAGTAGGCAGGAGTTGGCGGAAAATAGGCTTTAGGAGGATATGTATAACCTGGTTCTAAGGATTTGGGAGTCGTCGGAGGATAAGGGTAACCTGGTTCTATTGATTTTTTGGTAGACGAATAAGGATCGTAAGGAATGTATCCTGATTTATCAGTTGTCGTGATTGGTATTAATGTTTTTGGTGAAGTGTGAATAATGCCGTAAGGATCTATGAAAGGTTGGTCAGGGATAAAGTAAGTTTTTGGTGTGGAACTGTATGGTCCATAAGGGTAAATGTAAGTTGTTGGACTAGGGTTTAGGTCAGAAGAGTCTACAGGGTGCATACTTGTTTGTTCAGGGTAGTAATTTGGATCCAAAGGATGTACGCCCAAGTGTTTATCATAAACATCATGATAGTCAGCACCGGTGTCAGATGTATTCTTACTATCATAAGGGTCATCAGTGCGCCCATAATCATCATCGTACTTCTCATAAGTATCATCATCTCTATCCAAATCGTTCCCAGACTTTCTGTCATTGTTAGAATTATCATAACCCTTTTCAGCATGCTGGTCATAGTCGTATCCACCAGGTCTGCCTTGAATTTTATGCCTGTCTTCATCCAAATGTGGCCTAGGTGTCACCAAAATCGTATTGATGCGATCTACTATTCCCAAATTGGGAGCTGATGTTGTCACTCTGGGTTGGCCGAAGTAGCCAGAAGTGGCAGCTGATGACAGATCTAGGTTATGTACATTTTTATGGAAATTGATAGAGATTGTCCTTGCACCGGGGTTTGAGGGATTTATTTACAGATACAGGAGACTTAATAGATAAGGTAGATATTTTTGCATCTTGTATTAGATGCAACTAAAATTTTTACCTAAGTATGCAGTATTAAATTTCTGTACATTATCCACAACCTATCTCCATCACTTTAAGGATAATAAAAATACTTGGGCAATCAATTCATGCCAAAATTATTCTGGTGCATCTCACAGCAACCAAGGACAAAGTGCTTTATATCATACTTTATACATCATACATCATACTTTTGATAAAAAATCTTGTATAGATGACCAGAAATTGATAAAAGTGCTGAAATCGTACTAAACTAGTGGTGTATAGCATCGTGCCTTAAGGCAAATTGCTGGAACTTTCCGTACCGTAATGAAATATTCGAGAAATTTTAAACGTTTCTTACAAATACTGTATCTTTCATTATTTTTGCTATCTTGTTATATCTGAACAAATCAAATGTAAATCATAAATAAATCAATTTATCTTCAGAACATTAACAATCGTCATTTCATTTCGAATTTAATTTAAAAAAAAAAAAAAAAAATAGTAGCTCCCGTATAGTCACAGTCTAAAAGCATTTGCAAAAAATTCTGTACGACAATTTTCACTTATACTGTGCTTTGCTTGGCGG